ACAGTTTCCGGAAGGTACAGTAAGATTTGCTGGAATTGGAGTATCAGGTTGTTCTAAAAAGTCATAATTTGATAAAATTCATTTCATTAAGGCTAATTAAAATCGTGACGCGCGAATATATGCTATAAATAAATAATTACTTGTAATGGTTCCAATTTTTTTTACAGTTGGATATGTTTGCTTATGGTTATTCGCATTAACAAAAATATTCAACGCGGTTAACCATAGCATACACAAAATTGTAAAATGATTAAAACATTGCATCATATATTTTATAATTTTAGATAACGCGAAATTAAAATTTTGATTATAAGAGAACTAAGAAAATGAATCCTTTCGGAGTGATAAAAAAAAATGATAGAAGGATTATTAAATCTAAATTATAAAAATCGTACAATTTTTCTCCAAGGGATTCAAGAATATTAATCACACAGACACGATAAAATTTCAAAGGTTCAGTCTTTAAATAGGAAAAGGCTTTCTTTCATAAGGCAAAATTGCAACATAAAGGAACCATGGAAAAAAGTGGCAAAGCATAATTTAATGAATTGCATAACAATTGACGTATCTATTTAACTAATCACATTGAGAACACCCTTAGTCTCTAAATTTAGCGATTATTTATTGGTTTAATTGATATAAGTATTTAATTTAGCTTCTTATCCACATTAGTCTGTAAATTATCAATTTGCCAAGTCTAATTATGCAGATCGGTACGGTATGAAACCATCCTAGCGTACCCTTAAAAAAAGTTACGCAACTGAACTTAAATTTTCTCCGAACAATTACATTTCATTGTATATTAGAAATTTATATTGAAAATTTACTTTACTACAATTCGAATATAAATTTCAAATAAAAAAGAATTTTTTCTTCGAAAAAAAATTTCAAATTTTTTATATGATTGGCAGCCTGTGCAATATTTCAATATTTAACTTGACATTGTGTAGTAACCAAAATAGCGTTAGAATGAAAATCAAAATACTTTTTTTTGAAATTATAACTATACGGATCTGCAAAATTATAGAAACTAACGCTCATATATGAGTGCTGCCAAGGGAAAAAGGCCGATCGGACTTTTAATACATTTTGTGTACAGTTAGCCGTCTATGGAAAATTTATCACTATAATAAATTTTTCATAGATGGTTAACTGTACACAAAATATATTGAAGGTCCGATCGGCCTTTTTCCCTTGGCAGCGGCGCTCTAGATAAAAATGTCTACGCCCTTCCCGACCCTAATATTGACTCTAAATATATACTAACACCAACATGAAATATTTGTTAAAAATTTTAGATACTGTATAAAGCTGTAAAAACTTGGCAAAACCACTATAGGTACGTTTTTATAATAATAAATGATAAATTAGTGTTATAAGTTATATTTTAGATGTTATCGATTTTCATTATTAAAAAAGTTTTTCCGAGTTTTATGGTATTTTAGTGATTTGATAGGTTAAAGATCAGCCAATAATATGAATTTCTCTATATAACCCGTAGGACAATCAATTGACTCGCACGACTCTGACCCCATTGTGAATATCATTTCGCGACTTTTCCGTTCGCGTAAAGAACAGTGTCCAAATAAACGCAAAAAAACAACGAGAGAATTTCATTCACCAATCATTCTACGGCTTTACTTCTACTTCTACTATAAAAAGAAAGAATATATGGATACTTATATGGCTTTAACTCAACCTGACAGTGTCATCATAAAAAAAGAAGAATTAGCGAATGGTTACATAACTACCCAGTTTGACACTGACAATATAAAACAAGAAGAAGAATCTACCAATACTCTTACAGCTTTAACTCAACTTGAAACCTCCTTTACTAATTTGTCAATTGATCAACGCCTTCGTTGTCAGATATGTAATGAATATTATGAGCTACCAGTGTCAACGAAATGCCAACATACTTTTTGTGCGGGGTGTTTAAAGTGTAATTTTGAAAATAAAGCAACAGCTATGGAGTGCCCTGTATGTGGATATATGTTTACATCTTTTACACAAATATGTAAGAATAGTCTTATTGAAGATTTTGTGAAAGAATATGAGAAAATGAGGTAAAAATAATATTATCTCTTTTAAGATAATTTTCGTTGGGAAGAAACTAAACCACCCTAACAATACTGTTTTATAATTATTTATTTATATACCTAATAGACCACTAATAACACAACTATACAATCAGGGTCTTCAAGTCAGCAATGAGAAAGTAGGTGTGGGATTTGCATTAATTATTTTTATCATAAAAAGAGTTTAGAATTTCATATACAAAAACTATTAACACTAAAGACTATAGTGACCTCAGAATCACACGAATTAACCAATAACGATGGAGAAAATAATAATCCATCCAAACGGATAAAAATTGAAGACAGTGAGCAGCAGAATGTCCATAACAATGTTGAGAATTGGTATGTTTTTTCATTGCAGGGTTGACAATTTATTTGAAAGTCATGGATTTTAAAAATTCATTACTGAAAAATAAGTATTATAATTATAGTGACAAACACTTAGATAAGAAACCAAAAGTTGTATATGCATTACTTAAAGACAAAGCTTTAAAAGAAGAGTTAAGGGTACAGTATTGTAATGATAATAATTATTTAAATAATCATAAAAATTAATTTTCGATCTGTTTAGAGAGAAGGATTGTCATCACATGGTACTAGGGAAGAGTTGATTAGGCGCCATGCTCATTATCTGAACCTTTGGAATTCAAATGTTGATGCCACGAAAAGAAAAGATAGAATTGAATTAATAAAAGAAATGGCCAGATGGGAGAAGGCACAACGAAGCGGTGAAGTAAAGAAGGCTGTCAATGTTAAAAAGTCATTGATCAATGAAGATAAAGCAAAATCTTATGATATCCTTTATTTATTTTATTAACTATTCTATTCTAATTTATCACCTATTAATGCCTTAATTTTGCGATGATTTACAGGTGAAATATCAAGATCAATTCGCCGAATTGATTAAACAGGCCAAGAAAGGCCAAAAAAGAGAAAAAACATATTGAATTATATCAACATTATATTTCTTCTTGTAAGACATTTTATCAAATGCAATTGTTATTGCCGGGTAATCATCTGTGATTACTAACCCGATATGGATTGCATAATATTCTTTGACTGTTGTTGGTACTGATAATAATATCGATATTTGACAGCAAAATTAAGTCGAATTTTTTTCCAAATATAACAATTTTTTGACCCATGATTAAAGCATAAAATGTCATAAGATTGTATATAGAATTATTTCAAATTTTATAAATGTCTTTAACAAATTTGGTATCCTGAATTTTTAAGGCAAAATTGGTATATTTTGTTCTGCGCCTTTCTTATGGAGACGCATTAACTCTAATGATTTTCTTAAACCTTAAGATTATTTTTTGAGTATACATAAAGTTATTTCGTAATGTACTTTAGAAATTCGGTTTACAGTGCCGTATATTCCTTGTGATATAGTATAGTCCTTTTTCGTTAATGTAAGCATTATGAAATTAATCTAATATAAAACTAGGGTATTAGTCAAAAGCATGTAATTGAAAAGCTACTGTCTCGTAATTTTGTAAATGGTATAATATTATCTAGATACTGTATGCAATAACTATCTATAGAGTCAACATTTTTTAAAGTCTTATATACAATATAAAAAATTTAAGTTGATTATTTGTTAATAATAAATTAATTTTTTAAAATTTAATAATTTTATTTTTTTTTATTTTTTGTTTATATACAGTATTAACGTAAAGTTCGGAAAATAAGCATCACACTTCTAATTCTTTAAATTTCAGATTGATGGGAATGTTATTTTTACTAATCTGTTTTATTTGAAATTTTTTTTTATTAATAAAAATTAGACCTATAAGTAGACCTTTTTATTTAAATAAGTTTATATAAATATCTATTTATCCAGTAAAATAATATATAGTTATTGCATACGAAGTATGCAATAAAGGTTTTTATTTAATGCTTTACTATGATCAGTTTATAAAATAAATCAATTATTTTATGGTATTTTTATAAAAATCACTCATAATACGTAAGTTTGCTTCGACATTTTAATGCAATTATATTACTTGATTCATTTTAACCTGATACGTCTGGTTAACTAAACACCATATATATTAGAAGTTTAAACCCTTTTCCTTATATTCTTAAAAATGTCAGTTTAGCATAAAATATTATTCCTATTTCTAGAATTTAGGTAGCATCCAAGCCAGAGTTGGCAATAGAATCACGTTATACTTATCTATTCGGGTCACCGGAAGTCTTAAGTTCCTCCCCAGATGTGATTTTATAGTGATCGAAATATATAGGGCACAATTATTATGAAGTAATTTTAACTATCCTTATAACATTTCAATAAAAAGCAATAGTGCGAACAGTTATTGTCCTTGATAATAATTGTAGTCAATTACAATATATAAAAATAAAGACCTCAGTCAATGCTTAAAATTCTATGTAGTTTATTAAGAATGCCCTGATCACAAATCATCTCATATTATTATTTAGGTGATTTTAAATCCACTTAAATAGATTTTAGATCTTAAACCGACTTAAATACTGTAGGAATTAAATATTATATTTTAATAATATACTACCATTATATAATATATCGTTTTTGTCAAATGTTTATTTTTTTCTTAAGCACAATCGAATATTTACTTTTTATTATGATGAAACCTATATCCATACGATAAGCTACATTTGTAGAAATTATTTTTATGCCAGTTAGTGGTAAATGTAGATGCATTCTTTTCACTAATCTATCACTAGTTTGTAATCCACTACCTAATAAGTCACTTTTAGTTGCAAGTTTATATATTATTTTCTGCATATTAACAATTTTAATATCTTAATATTCAGGGTGTTCTCAAGCGCTTCAGTATGTCGAAAGTGTGTCAGGAATTAAATTTTAATTAACGGAAAGTATTTTAAATCGATCAATCGAACTTGCCATTAAGATAAGTAAGGTAGTTTATTACATGAAAGAAAAATTTTAAAAGTAAAAAATAATCAGTGAGTTTATCATTTCAGTCAAAAAACCTTTTGTCCCGATCCTCCTTTTTATAAACTTTTCAAAATCCTTGATTTGAGATCTTCATTTGATCAATTGTTGAAGTTGAACATCACTACAATTATTAGAAAATCACAGGAATATTAATGTTTGAGCATATCTAAATAATATCGTCATTCGTATTATTTGACTTATTAAAAATGTTATGACAATTACTAAAATTACGTCATAATACTTGTGCACCATTTCGATCACTATGAAATCGCATCTAGGTTGATGCTTGAGAACACCCTCAATCATTTCTAGTAATGTAAAGCTTATTTACATTGTAGAATAATATTGAGAACTCTGTTTTCGTATCGTAAACGAATATGCTGTATTAAGATAGTCAGTTTGTGAAATAAAGATTTTTTTCGCAATAAAAGAATATCGAAGTTTTTTAAGTCAAGCTATAAAATACGATTACTTTAATAGCTATTTATTTAATTGTATAACCACTTAAGTTTTTTAAGATCTGAAATAGATTATAGTCACGGTGCTGATGATACTATAATAAGTGCTTTATTTGTTTCTAAGTATGTATGAGTGTAATATTATAAAGTGCTACCATTATAAGGCATAAAGAAAATATTGACACGAAGACTCTTGGTTCTAAAATGTTGTTTACAGAGAGATATTTATATTTATACCTTGGTCAATGTTTTTCAAAATTGGCTACTCAGTTTATAGGTTAGAAATGTAACATCTAGATTGTTGTAGTATTACACAGAACAGACCTCTGAGAAAGCAAGTGATGAGACCCTAGTAAATAAGCTATAATTCATATGTCCGTTTTTTTATGACCGTTTTTTTATAACTATGAGCATTACCTTCATTAATTTTATTTTAATACATTTATTTGTCCAATGTCTTGGTCTCTTTTATACTTTTTAGAAAGCTTTGACCCTTTCTCTATGATAGCAACAGGAAGTAAAGCCAGTACTGTAACATTTGTATGATGTGTTTTAATCTAGAGTTTTGTTCAATATTTATGATATTGTAAAATATACTGTAGATGCTTTAAATTCTCTTATCACAGGTGAATAAAAAAGTATGAAGAATTTCAAAAGAAAGTAGTCTTGTGACTGGCAAAGTATAGATTTAGTAATACAGTAAACCAATTTTATTTACCATATCTTTAAAAAAAAATCATATTCACTATATTCGAAGCACCTGTGATATACTGTAAGTCTTTATAAACATTGATCCAGTATCGCTTACTATTTATTTAAAAGCATTAAAGCCATAATAATAAACTCTTGTAGCATCTATTGTTTTTATAAATCCGTTTATAATTAGAACTAACATCGAAAACAGTTACGTACTTGTCTAATATTATTTGCTTAATTTATTAATTTTGCATGAAAATTTATAATCTTGTCAGCCAACAAATTTTGCTTAAAACGTAAAAAAAGTTTTAAATTTTAAGTTATATTTCAATAATAAACGTGTCTTTTTGAAATGATGGAAGTTCAACATATGAAATTGCACGAGATTTCAATCTACAGAAAACCTGCTATTCTAATTAACAAATTATATTTCAATTATATGGCAATGAATATAATTTGAAACATCATATATTTTGACTAGCAACGGTAATAATAAAATACGCACTGTATAAGTACATACGTATGTACGTACGTGCCAATATCAAATTTGGCTGAATAATCATGGGTCAATTTTAATAATTTAAAACCGACATGCATGGTAGACAAATTTTATATCAATTTTAAAAGGTTATCGGGTTTAAGAGGTCAAATAACTAAATTAGAAACAGACATGGTGATTTTTTTATCGGTTTTGATAGATCAGTTTTGATTAGAGGTTGGATCCTTTGAATATCCAGTAAATATTCGCGGGTTTACGAATAACATTGAATGAATATCCAGATTTTGAATGGATATATCCACCTATTATTATTACCATGAATATTCACGCGCAAATATTCATGAATATAAACGAATCAATGATATCAATTACAAACCTTGAATACCCATGAATTTTGTGTATATTCAATGAATATCTATTTCCAACCGTGAATATTCACCTCTAGTTTTGACAGGTTATACTTGTGTCATTATACCATTTTTAAAGTAATCTTTAAATATATATATATTTTATAAAAAGATGGAAATTCTTTGTTTATATTAATCTTACATATACATGTATAAAACATGTATACCACAAATTTATTTTTAGTATATAATTTTGTATACTCACAATATATCTTAAATAAAAATGAAAATATGAAACTTCATTTTGATCTTTTCCTCAATGATATTTGAAAGATGATATTGAGAATTTATCTGTTATGCCTTAAGTTTTTAACGCATCCGTTATCTTTTTGGTGTTAATCGATTTACTAGTATACATATCATTTGGATGAATCGATGATTTTAATTCTGGTTTGATATTATCTGCTTCAAAAAATTGCTTCTTGATCTCATTATCTTTATTTAGTTCCATCTCTTCAAGCCAATATCCAACTCTGTGACAAATATTTGTTGCCGTTGGTCGTTTATTTGGATCAGGATCCATACTTCTTTCAGCCAATTCTGCGTAGCAATTTGGTGTTTTTTCACCGATTCCAGGCCGTTCGCCTCGACAAATTCTCACCGAAAGTTTAGTATTAAAAGGCTCTCCATCAAACGCTCTCTTTCCTGTTGCTAACTCTGTCATGATGATACCGAGGCTGTAAATATCCGCCTCTTGAGTGAATGGTTCTCTTTTTAAGACCTCAGGCGCTATATACGGCATAACACCATTGATTTCACCATCTTGCTTAATACCAGATGATGCTGAGAGTCCCAAATCAGTGATGTATGCACTGTGCAAACTTCCTTGCAAAATATTGCCAGAATGCAAATCTCGATGAATCATTTCTTGAGAATGAATTGCTTCAAGATCTGAAGCGATACAATATAATATATTTAATTTATCTCTCCATTCCAATT